TTCTGTGGGAAGTAATATTATTGTACTGTTAAGGTGTTGTTTCTTCAAAGTGCATTTTGCTTAATGCTGTCACATGATAGATTTGCAAGATGGGCTTGTAAAGGTTGAGTCTTCATAGAGAAGCCCCAGTGAATGGGATCAAAGCCAGTTACTTCATGGAAAGGTTCAGAAACCTGTAAGATTATTCAAGTTTTTCCCTTCCCACTTCTGCTTTTAATTGAGGATAACATGAATAATTAACCTGCATATCTAAACAGCAAGTAAAGGCTATTAACTATTCTCTTCTGCTTATTTTCTGTGAAAAGGAATGCAGGGGCAAAGATAGGACTGACTGAAGGACCTTATTGGGGCATAAAGCAGGTTCTGTATTGAAAAGCACTCTCTGTGTAGCTAGGTATGGGCATATTGCATTTCTGTCTTAACCCAGCATTTTGTCTGGACCTCAACCCTTTATGATGCAGACTCTAGGGAACTGACTGTGTTAAAATCTGGAACATCCCTTTCAGACTTGAAACTTGATTTTCAGGTGACAGTGTGTTCCTTGGTTTGTAACATGATGTACAGTTTCAAATACCATGCTCCTTTCTCAGAGGTGGAGGTCAATCTTCTGCCTTATCTGCTGTGGCAATACTTTCTATCAAGTTTCCTATTTTGTTTATACTTTACAGTGAAAGCACAGACTGAAATCTTTTAGTGTTTGAAGAAAGGCTGTGCTTTATTTTGTGGTTGCACAGCAGCATGCATACTTTTAGTGCTCTTACCTGTGGGACCAAGCACAGAAGCCATCAGAGGTATTGTGAGCTGTGGAGAATGAGAACAGGTCTTCAAGAAAACATCCTTTCTACCCTTATACTGCATTTAGGGTTTCTCTTCCTTTTCTGCTTGACTGTGTGGCAGTGATGCAGCCTCCTGTTGGCATCCACAAGCTGAGCTCTGCTCTGAGTTCTCTGATCCTGGTGCAGAATAAGGACTGCTTTCATGGACTTAACCTTTTTAGTGTTGGGTGTAGGTGTTTGTCTGTTGAAGGACTCCAAAAGAAGAGAATCATTGCTGTCAGGGATGCTGTAGAACTGTCATGCCCCAGACAAATCTTCTCCTCACATCTTTAAATTTCTTAAGTCAACTGTGTCTAAAATGTGGTAGATGAACAGGGGTTGGCACCTGCAGACTTCAGTATATGTGCTGTGCTTCTGCATATTTTTTTCCTTTGAATTTGTAGACATTGATAACAATTTAGTTCTGTTTCTGTAGACTGAAAGTAGCTTTAATCTGACACTGCTGATTACAAAAATGCTTTAGTCTTTATGACTGTGATGTTCAATATGCAGTTTATGCCATTATTGCTTGTCTTTGGGTCAGTGAGAGTAGAAAACAGTTCTTACAATTTTTGTAGTAATTTTAAAAAAAGTTAATTTGTCTCAGAATATCCTGGATGTGGCATTAGTTATTTAAACATGAGTTTTATTGCATGTAATGTACTGTAATATTTACATGTTACTTTGTCTCTTGCAGATCTAGAAATGGCAATTGCATATTGGAATTTAGTCTTATCAGGAAGATTTAAATTTCTAGATCTTTGGAATAAATTTTTGTTGGTAAGTATGTACCCTGTTCTTTTCTGACTGTCAGTCTGGCTTGTAGGCTGTGTGCTTACAGTAAAGGAAAAAGCAAGATGTCTGAATACTCCCTTCAAACTTTTTCCTTTTGAAAACTGATAGAAAATTGAATCAAGCCACATTAAACCTTCTCTATATCATTTTCTAACAGAGAAGAATTCAATAAAAAGTAGCAAAGCAATAGAGCATTCTGCTTGTTTGCTCCTGTGTCCTACTACTTATAAAAGCTTCTGTATGAAAGGAAGCCATGGCTGTAGATGGAACCTGTGTTGTCTTTTTTCTCAAGACAACTGTGATTTTCAGCCATGTGTTTTACTCTGCTTTGCCTTTTGAAGTGTTAATGCATAAATTCAAGTTTTTTTAAAAAGTCAATTCTGTCATGACTGACTTAACCTGAGAGCCTTCTCTTTTTAAGCACAAGTTCTTGTCTGAGTAATTATTTTGACTCAGTTTTTAGGTAACAGTTGTGTTGATCATCAACTTCATTTTGATGCAGATTTTTGAAATGCATCATAGAATGGTTTGGGTTGGAAGGGACCTTCAAGATCATCTAGTTCCAACCCCCCTGCCATGGGTAGGGACACCTCCCAGTAGACCAGATTCTCTAAGTCCACATCCAGCCTGGTCTTAAACACATCCAATGATATATTACTTGAGGGTATTACTGCAAGAAATGCACGTGGTGTGTTATGGTGGGGGAGAGAATAGCTGGAGAGAGGCTGAGATGGTGGATCCAGAAGGCACTCTGGGAGTGAGACAAGTGCAGGTGCAACTGGAACCAACAAGTTGAAAGAGACTTGGTAAGGAAAAAAGGGCTCAAGTTGAAATAGCAGACTGCCAACCCCTGGCTGCACAGTTTCAAAGCCTGGAAGGGCTGCCTTTAAATAGAAGTATAAACTGTTTGGCTTATTCTTCTCCATAAGAAGTCAGGAACACATACCTTAAAAGCAGAGCAGAAGAAATGAAGCAACTATCAAAAACTTCTTACACTTGTTTTCTTCTTTAGTTGTGATCTATTTTGTAGCTTGCTTTGGAAGCCCTGAACTTATTTTTAAAAAAAAAATACATGTAAAATGTATTTCTGCATATGACAATATAAAATACCACTGTGGAAATGGAAAAGTTTGAACAGTACCCTATTTCCTCCTTTATAGGAACATCATAAAAGATCAATTCCAAAAGATACTTGGAATCTTTTGTTAGACTTTGGAAATATGATTGCAGATGATATGTCCAACTATGATGAAGAAGGTAAGCAGTACTTGAAGATCTTCCA